CTGGCGGGGGGGGAGAAGCGACGTAGGGGGGGACAGGAACAGAACTGGCCGAAGTGTGTGCTCGACGACCTAAAGGCATTCGGGGCCGACCACGGATCTACGGAAACCGATCCATGTTGTCTCGTAATCCCGGTACCGAAAAGACACGGCACCGAAGTAAAAGTGGACGGAAGCCGCGAAGGTGGAGAGGGGATTACCCTGGCATGCGGCGGTGCTGCAGGGAGCTGAGAGGTTCATAACCTCCTGCCACGAGAAGGAAGAAAAGGCCAGCCGACAACGGGCGCTCAAACGAAACCACAAGCCAACAACCAATGGGGTGGAAGGCGGGCAGGAGACGGACGAGACGGCGAGGTAAGAAAGCAAACGAGAAAAGACGGACCGCGTGGCGCGATACGCGCCGGATTGAATTTCTATTGACCAATTCCCCCCGCCCAACGCTGCACCACTACACCAACCCCCCACCAGTGATGACGTACCATTACAATGCATCGCTGGTTGGTGGCCATGTTTGCGTGTTTGCTTGTTCGTTAGTGGTCTCTCCAACGTGTGCCTTTTTCTGTCTCTTGCTTCTCGTCATTTTCGGCCTGGTCCCTTTTTTTCCTCCCTCTTTTCACTTTATTGTTATTTCCTTACTGTATCTTTATTTTTTTTTCTCTTTCTCTCTGTTTTCTTTTTTCTCTCTTTTTCTGTGCCAGATGGCCTTGTCTTTCCCTGCGTTGTGAAGTGCCAAGATTGAACCAAGGGGGTGTACCTCTCTCCCTCCGGCCTGCGATGGTGACTCCTAGTCTCAGTTGTTACCTCGCATAGCGCGCAGAGGGAGTGAAGGACTCCAGAATGCCTGCCGTTGATTTCTATTGACTTGCGGACCCCTCGGGGCCAGTTTATTTGAGTGTACCTTTAGGGTAAGTTAACCTGTGACCACGGGAATCGACCGCTCGAGTGTTGGATCAGTAGGGACATACGAAGGTACTGGGTAGAGAGAGATCGGAACGGTTTTTAATGTGAAGACAACAACAACAACAACAACAACAACAACAACAACAACAACAACAACAACAACAACAACAACAACAACAACACGCACACACCTGAGATCACCATTCAGGTACGTGACCGCAGAGGACGGCTGCAGGCACAGCAGCGCATCCCACGCGAGCGTCGGCTCTTGCGGGATGACGAGCACCACGTGCTCATGGTGGTAGGCTACCGAATCCGCGGCCAGCAGGTCGCGGAGGAGCACGCTCACCACCCGGAGGCAGCTCGCATCGCAGCCTACCTAAGGGAAGACAAAGAAGGAAAACACAAAGAACCGCAGCGTCAACAAAAACGCCAGAGCACAAGCAAAGGGCACACGCACACGGGCGCGGGGAAGGTGGGGGATTGGACTACGGGGTAAATACGTGTTGGGGTAAATGCGTGAGGGCCAATGTTACCTGGTTCAGTAGCAGACAGAGCAGTTGCTGCGGGAGTTTACAAAAAATTATGCACGAAAATTGAAACAAGAACTGCGTTCGACGACGGGTCGTGACAGCGTACGACCGAGCACAGGACCGCCCGGAGGGTGTTACACTTCAGTTACCGGCACGTGCCATCCGCGATCGGTTCACCACGGCCATGTGTATTGATACGTTGACGAGTGTGCCCGAAATATACAATAAAGCAACGGACCGTTGAGCCTTGACAGTGTCCAGCTGTTACTATATTACCCCAATTGGGGCTGTCCTTTTCATTTTTTGATACCTCTGCAAAAACCTGTGGCAGCCTTGCTGATGGTCGCAAGGTCTGTCTGTCTGTCTGTCTGTCTGTCTCTCATCCGGTCTCTGCATCTTTCTCGGGTTGTTTGTCTGTCTGTCTGTCGGTCTCCGTCCACATAGCTCTCACCACAATGTGACCTGTTCCCCAGCTCTTAGAGAGACAGCCACCGTGCTTGGGGGTGAGCTTCGTGATGTTCACGAGCGCGCTGGTCACCAAGGGAACGCAGAAGAAGAGCGTCAGGATGAGACCCGTGATTACCACCCGGCTAAGGGCAGTGGACGGGCTGATGTCGCCGTATCTGGGGGGAAGGCACATTTGCGGTATGGAAACGGCCCGGAAGGTCGGGGTCAGGACAGATAGCGTGTGAGGTTCAGAGAGTCTGGAGACGAGGTCCGGTCGTCTAAGCGCCAGGCCGCACACGCAGACAGCTCAATACCCAATAACACCCAACGCGCCCGTAGTGAACTTGGACCTCGCGATGTGTGTGATCCCGCCTGCCGACCCGCCGGCAGTGGTGGAGAAGAACGCCATTTCGAAGGGCCTAGTCGATCGCGCGGTCCTCCTTTTGCCCGGTCGTCGTTGCAACAGGCTACTTTTCTAGGTACGTCGGATCAGAAGACCTCGTTCTTCAAACCGAACCGTAGCGAGGGACACGATGTTAGAACCTCTGACGCTATTCCGTCATTTTTCGGGTGGGTGGGAGGGTGGGCGAGATACCCGTCGCTGGTTCGCCTGCGGCAGGAGAGAAGACCACCACGACATGTATGCTCTCGCGGGTGCGCTTCTCGCCTGTTTCACACTGATTTCATTGTCGCTCGCCACAGAATAACAAGCTGCCGGCTTTCTTAGTGATACAAAAACCTTCCATGTTGTTGTCCAGCGTTCCATATCCATACCTCCTCACTCCGCACTCGTGCTGTGCTGCTTACCCGACGGTGGAGAAGGAGACGACGACGAAGTAGAGAGCCTCGTGGAAGGGCATCCTGCCGTACCCCAGGCCCCAGTCGGCGTCTTGGACGACCACCAGGAAGTGTGTCAGCCCCGCCATCGTGAAGATCACCACCACGGTCTTGAGGCTCCAGCGGACCAGCTGAGAACGCAGCACAAGAAGTTGCCTGCGAGGGAGGAACCGATGATGAAAGAGTACGGTATGGTCTGTGGTGTGGAGTGTTCGGGGTTTAGTCGTTTGGAACGGCGTCGCTAGAAGCGTACGAGGGGAGTTGCGGGTCGAGCGACGGGATAAGGAACGGGAAAGAGAGCAACGGGGGGTGGGGCTGATCGCAAGAGTTGGGGCGTATTTCCGAGTTGTGCCTCAGAAGAGGGTGGAGCTGACACCGACTGTCGCGGTGCGAAGCAGCGGTGACGATGGACGAGGCGACAATTCCGCAGAGTAGGCTCCGCACGCAGAACACCCGCAGCCGGAAACGAGGTCTTCGAAACTCATCGCACGGATGGGGCACGTGCAACATGCTACCAGTGCCGTAAACAGTCGAACGCATTTGACTCCGGCCCCGGGGGCACGCGCGCGCGTTAATTCCCACACTCTACCCCACACGCAAACGTATTGTAGACCCTCATCACAAGTCAAACGCGAAGAAACGAGGCATCACCACCAGTCAGTACCACGCGACGCTCACAAGTCGCTCACACTCCCACAGAACACGACAAGCACGCCGAACCCAACCTTCATTTCAAATATATGTACACACACCCATAGTTACACAAGCCACACCTCGAGTGGTCGAAAGCCAGCGAGGGTCCCTGCACGAAGAACGAGATGGTCACCAGCAGCCTCGCCACGCGGAGGACCCGGGTGATCTTCAGGCTGAGGTAGGCGTCGGCGAACCCCCCCTCGGACGTCCTCCATCCGTCCTGCGGTCGGAGGTCGGTGGGAGGTACAGCAGTCGGTGTCGTTTGCCCGTTTTCATCAACGCGTAGCACACACGAGTGTCCCACTTAGTCACGAAAAAAAAATAGAACAACGACCAAAGAAGCTGGATGGAAACAAAGTTCCGCGTGGCAAGCCATGACATGTGCGGTCGTTTGCCCATGAGGCGAACATGTTATCATGAACGGGGTGTGATCTGTTGTGTCACATACAAGTGTCTCGATCTCCAAGGCTGAAGCTGGTTGCGAATGATTGTCCCGCTAGGGGGAGGGGGCGTCTCACTCACGTTCACGAACAGAATGAGGTAGGAGGGAAAGACTGTGACGATATCCACCACCGCTTGGAGAGACACCAGGTGGGTCAGCTTGTCAACGGCGAGGTAGAGGTGCAAAAGGAAGTTGAACAAGAAAAACCTGCACGGGTTTTCAGACGGTGCACGCCACCAGCGAAAGGATTGAAACCGTGGAGACAGAAGGACAGAAGAAAGGCGACGGTGGATCATCAGACAAGAGCACGGACGGAGCTTTGGAGTCGTTGAGGTGCTGCACCTCGACTTCTTCATGGCGTTTACGTCTGAAATCGTGGCGAAAGCAACCAAAAATACAGAAAGCAAGACAATCTGGAATCCACGGTCGATGTCAAGGTGGCACCGAGCCAAATGCCCCTGGTGCTAGCCGTGAACTCTTGGGTTGCCCTTGTTGTCTCGTCCACTGCATGACTCCATTTCCAGTCGACTCGACCCGTCCTTCTTTGCCTTTCTGTTCAACCTCCCTCTACTCACCCGTTAAATACCATCTCCATGGAGAAAGACAGCACAATGAAACCATCTGTGTAAAACGTACAAGGCCGTCGAGAATCGAGGGAGGACGAAGGAGGGTCGAGGGAGTTACGAGAGAGGAGAGAGAGAGCGAGAGAGAGCGAGAGAGACAGAGAGAGACAGAGACAAGGAGGGTGTCAGGAGACGCTGTTCTCGGTCTTAGCCATGTGCTGTAGAGTAGGATGACACCAATCCGGTGCGCCGAGAAGGAACGACGGCACGGCAGCAGGGTTGCATAAACGTTACCCCCGGCAGCGGCAATCCACTTGCCATCTCTCGCTCCCCTCTCGCTCCCCACCTCCCGTTGCAGCTTGGTTGACAAAACAAGAAAAACCTACCCCATCAAAAGCATCGTTCTGCTCCACTCGCCCTGACCTTTTGCCCTCCGGAAAAATACGATCAGCCCTTTGCTTGTGCCATCCCCTTCATTCTGGAAAGTCACCTTTCGTGTCCACCGTTTTGTTTCGTTTCAACCCAGTAGGGGTCACCCGCGAGGAATGCAAAAGGAAGGTGTGCTTTCTCAACAATCCTTCTGCAGTGCTGGCCTAACCTTTTGTCGCGAAAGGCATGCAGCGGTTCCTTAGCTTCGTCGAACGTGACGTCAAAGTTGAGCGTACACACATATGTTCAGGCGAAATGTGAGCAAACATCCCTATTTTGTGACCGCGCAACCAACTGGCCCACTGGGGCGACCCATGCATGAAACCTGGGGTCCTGCCCCTCAAGAAAAATAGGTGAAGACACACGCCAACTAAACGATGAAAAATCTCTTTGGTTGTCACACTCAAACACTCTCGCCACCGTCGTTGACTCACAGTTATTCCCGAAGGAGTAGGTTTCGAGCACGAAGAGTAAGCATGTCGCCTTCGTTGCGTCGTGGTGGGTATGACGTGTCAACAAGATCCGATCGGAGTCGCGTGGAGCATGGGACGAACGGGGATCGGGGTCGATCAACTATTGGTCAAAACAAACAACGGTTTTCCAACAAGTAAGGTAACTTGAACTTGAGGCAACACCTTGCTAGCCACGCTATACTAAGGATTAATTGCGGCGAGCGCGGGGGCGGGGGGTGCGTTCACGTTGAACTTTGTCCGTTTTCTGCATGATGATGAACCTTGCCTTGAAACGTGCTTTCCTTGCAATCTACCTAAAACCATGGCCTGGGGAGCGGTTGTGTTCTAGTGGCAGTTAAGTAAATATCAAAACACTTCCATTAGAACGTGCGAAAGCCCGCGAACATGGCGAGCGGAAACTCCCAAATGTTGGAAATCTTTGCACAACACGGCACGGTCGACCTTGTGTTCGTGTGGTGTGTGCGCCTTAGGTTCACGAGGACATGTGCATGTAGTGAACTTCATCGGGCCCACGGAGGACGAGATTCAGGCTAGTTTACACCATCTACACAAGGACAAAGCCCATACCGTCCTATTTTAACCTCCGGTGGAATGAGCCGTGACGATACGACCCAGCAGGTCACATCAAGGTGGATGTTAGAACGGCGCACCGCTCTTGAGCGAGCGACAACCGTATCGCACGCACGGCAGGACAACCGCGGCCGTGGTGGCGTGGAATAGGCGCCGCGTTTGAGAACGGCGGCGCAATTACGAAAACTCCCCTTCGAGGAAAAGCGGCTCAAAATTTCGCGAAATGCTGTAGAAGAATAATCGGAACACACCTCAGCGGCGGATCCTACCCTAAGCTTTTCATACTGCTTGACCGGTCGCCCCGGTGGTCTAGTGGTATCCTCGGAATCCGCTAGTCGCAGAGGTCGTGAGTTGGAATCCACGTGGGGTGAAAATTCTACGAAATGTCCGGGTGAAAGCGAAATAGAGCTGACAAGCTCTCGTGAGTACCAAACTTCGACGTTAGCACCGTTGACGAGGGAAAGAGACGGCTGGACCCTTCTCGCGATAAAAATGAAATTCAGCACGCACCGCAAGAGGAAGGTGGGGCACGAAAAGAATTAAAAAGAAGCAACCCCCTCCTGTGTGACCCTGGATGGTTGTAGTTACGAAAAAATACACTGAAAAGTGTATTACTCTATATACGCTGAAAAGTGTAGTGCACGTCTCACCACGAAAAATGGGGGGACCGTCGCCATAATAAATAGGACGAAACACACCCACACAACCACACTGCTTTGTAGCAACCTATGCTCAAACGGTGGCAACGAAATAAGCAATCAAGCCAATCCGATGTTGACGTTGCTTACCTCCGGGGCTGTTCTTACACCTACAGGACTTGAACGAAAAATGTCCGCCCGTTTTCCAGGAAGTGAACGCATTCGGATGGCTCAACGTCGAGAAAGCATGGACAAGCGCAACGAGCACAACTTGACACGCATGTACGATACTTCAGTCGCACTCACCAAACTGAATAGGGCGTTGAGTATCTCGATGAAGAGGCCATACCTCGACGTCGTGATGTGCCGGTTCAATCTGAAAATCATTGTGAAGAACACCCGGAAGCAATGGATGCTCGGGCTTGTATTTGAATGCGGGGACCTCACGTATCCATGAGCCTAGCCCACGGCTGTGCTATATTAGGACCAAATGAAAATAAACACGGGCCACCAGTTCGAGATATACCCACAAACAGTCGAACGGGATGTGTTGAAGGAGTCCTTTCTCAATGAGTGCTACTTTGTATGAAATGCATGAACCCGTATGTACGTAAAAAATCCGGCCGGTCAAGCGCGGTCTATAAAGAGGCAAATAACCAAGCACGACCGCATCGGAGCAACCCTGACAAAGAACCACACGCAATGAACCGGACCTCTAGCACGACCTTGGCGACCTCAAGAACCATGCAGCTTTTGTGTGGTCACTCCTGTGGGCACGTGGGCATGCAAAGGACGCGACGGGGCGGACAACATGGAGCGAGCAACGACAGAAATTACCTGTTCGTGTATGGGACTTCCCCATGTCGGGGTACTGAGAGCAGCACGTAGACGAAGTAGCAAAAGAACACCAAGAAGCTGCCAGCTGTGGAGAAGGTGACCGGAGTCTCACTGGCCGCCCCGCCCATGGTGCTGATCGACGAGATCTGAGATATTCTCGCTCGTTGTGAGCTCTTACCAACACACTGGCTCTTCGCACCGTGGAGGTTGTGTACTGCCGTAACCCTCCCTGCCGCTGAGCTTCGCAGGCAGATAAGATATTCAGGTCAAGCGCCGCTAACGACAGCAGCTCCCGTGTTTCTCTTAAGGCACCCCCCCCCTGCCGTGTTGTAGGCGAAACAACAGACGAACAACATCCACACGCAGAGAGACTAACATTTGAAAACACCAATAAGATGATGCTATGCAGTGTTGGTCATGCCGCATAACACCACCCTCTCTCCAACACAAGTACATTTCGCGGTGCCCCCCTGTTGCCCTTGGCCAGCTCCGACAACCAACAAGCAGAGCGAGTGGTCCAGTGCTTGGCGGTCGTACTTGTCGTATGCCACCTCCCTATCTGTGTCGCCTCCGCCGGGGTATCTTCTGGTAAGTCCCATGGACATGCGACTTGATCTGTAAGGAGAATCTCTGAGACCTCGTGTTGTCAACGTATCGGTCCCTGATTGCTGCTCGAGAAATAAGACGTTTCCTTGAGCAAGCAAAGCATGGGCCAACGGGCGTAGGTATTGCACTCTTTCGAGCCTGGGAAACAATCACGACTTGGCTTGGTGCACGCTTGACCTCAGGCAGGCCGCTATGAAGGTCTGCATATGCATAACCTCTCACCCTCACTTCCAACACCAGACTACTCGCGGTCTGAGTTGCAACGGCCGTGAGCCCGTATAGGTCTACGTGTACCTCAGTACCGCCACTGCTGTTGCTGTTAGTCGGGAGGAGAGAGGCTGCCTAAGCCTGCAACCACGGTTCTATGTCCTCACTTGGCTTCTTTGGCTTGTATGAGTGTCCATAAATGTGACACGGTGATTAGAACCCGTTGTGTCCAAAAGTGTGCTTTTCCCGGACAACCATGCCTGCCGGGAGGGCGTCGGTACAGTGGGCGCTGCCGCTTGCGCGAACCAACCTTCCTTGTACTCTTCCCCCCTCTGCTGGCAACCCGCTGAAACCAGAAACCTTGCCGAGAGCTCGGTGTACAAGTTCGCTGCTGACAGGGAGGCAAGGTGCCAGCGGATAGAGCGCGAGAGATGGCGACCTCCGAGCTCTCGGAGCTGCGCGCCGAGCTTTGGCGAACACGCGACGACCTCGAGCGGATCAAGTCTCGTGGCACCCCGCCGAGCGCTGACTGTTCGCCCCGGCGGCACTTCGATCGCCGTCGCCATCGCGCTTCCCCTTCCCCCACCCTCACTGCTGCTACCGCGCACGAAGAAGGGGATAAGGATCGTGACCATCGTCGACATCGGCACAGCGAGCAGCACAAGGGCGACGGGCTAGAGGGCGGCGGGGGGATACGGGGTGATAGCGGTGGGGGGATTGGGAGCGGGCCAACCAGCACTCCAACAAGCGGAGGCTCATCGCCCGGATCGGGGGCGGACATCGATGATGAGGCCCCAAGAGGTCTGGGCGGAACAGCCGCTTCTGGGTCTTCTCCCGGTGGTCGGCAACTGAAGTTCGGAAGCAGCCGTGGTGGCGTTGGCAGCGCCAGCTCAGAAGGCGAGAACGCCGCGAAAGGCGGATCGTCGGAGGAGGCGGCCGCAGAAGAGACCCTCTGCAACCTGGAGCTCGAGGGAGCGGCTTTCAAGAATTGGACGGAAGAAGCTTCGTCGATCGCCGTCCGCCTCATCGAGGAGGTCAAAATGCTCCGCTGGGAGAAGGCTAGCTGGACGGAACGGGAGCGCGCCGCCGAGCGCGCGTCAGAACGAGCGGCGGCGGAGGCGAGGGCGCAGGCCGCCCACCTGGAGGAGCGTCTGGGCTTAGCCGAGGCCGACGGGAGGAGGGCGCAAGAGGCGCTGGCGAGGGCGCAGCAGGACGTGGAGAGAGAGAGGGCGCGAGCGAAAACGGAGCGAGCTAAGGCGGAAGGTCTCCGCACAGCGGCGGCGACGGCGGCGGCCGCGGCCTCGGCGGCCCAGCAGGAGAAAGAGAAGATGCAGTACGATCAACAACGCAAGGAGGAAGCGAGGCAGCAGCAGGAAAGGGACGTGGCCGCTGGTGGGGGAGGGGGATTGGTTGAGATGTTGAGGCGCGAAAAGGAGGGGGCAGATGCCCTGCAGCGGAGGCTGGACGCGGCCAGGGCGGCATCTGCGAAGCACGAGAAGGAAAGGAAAGAGTGGCGATCGTCGAAGGCGAGGTTGGAGGAGCTGCGCCGGTCATGGGGGAAACAGCTGAATAAGGTAGGCGGGGGGGGGGTCG